AGTCACAGTGAGAGGACATCGATAAATCATTAAAATCTGATCACTGAATTCTAGATATGTCACCAATCCAAAGATTACAGTACAAAAGCATTTGATAAGTGGCTCAACACAGAAACAGCTTTACAAAAAAACACTGACAGCTACATTTATGGGTTTGTTTGTACCTAGCTTCATGTTTTATTTGTTATTCAGTGAAATGAATAAGAGGTTTGAGGAGGTATGGGGATAAGCCAGGCGGTGGGATTGAATAAACATCTTGCTCTGAGAGCCGGTCTAAATTTCTATGATTCTACAGCACTTAACTAGCACTCAATCACAGATAGTGAGAAAATCAACAAATACCAGTGTCTATCATACACTGTATCATGTGTAAAGGCATGTGTACCATAGAAATTTATATTTAGCCTTAATTATGAATTGAGAACAAATGAAAAGGATTTGTTAACTACATAATTCAGAGCATCCTAATCCCCCTCTACACACGTGGTGGGAGGGTGGGAATTCACACAGATTTTACTATAATAATATAATATTTTAGAACTCATACAGTCTCAATTTGAAGTTACTTTTCTGTAAGCTTCTTTTAAGAACTGGAGAAAACTGGCTGATTTCAACATTTTGCCAAATTCGGATTGTTCTAAAACGCCACGTTAATAATAAATAATTGTTACATTTTGATATAATGTTGGGAGAATGTCTCAAAATCCTTCACAGATTTACTGTGAGGTGGAGTGACTGTGTAGGCGAATATGACAACAGCCAATTTTGTGCACAGCAACATCCCACAAACTGCCATGAAATGAATGTCCAATTTTAGTTGGGGGATTTGGACCAGGACACAGAAAGTTAAGTCCCTTCTCTTTTCGATAGTGCCATGGGATCTTTAAGGTCAACCTGAATAGGCAGACAGGACCTTTAGTTAACATCTAATCTGAAGGACGGATCCTCCAACAATGCAAACCCCCACCAGCCCCCAACACTGCGTTGGGAGTGTCAGCCTCGACTATATGACTATATGTGGGCTGTAAACTCACAACCTGCTGACACAGAGATGAGAGTGCAACCAACTGAGCCAGGCTGACACACTTAATGGTGAGAGGGCAGGGTTTTATTTTGGAAGGTTGAGATTAAATGGCTCAAATCGCGTTCCTCATCCAAACCGCTCCTGTCATTTTACGATACCCCGGTCTCCAGTATAGTTGAGAGCACCCGAGTCCCATTGCCCATTGCACACAGAGCAGGTACGTACACAGGCTGTGGGAGAGGAGCGCAGTTTGGGAGCCCATCAGTGCTGAACGTTGTAGAATCACATCGGCACCAGTCGTCAATAACGTCACCACCTCCAGTGCACCAAAGCAAGCTCAGCATAGTTTCTTGGACGGCCTAAAAAACACAGGAACATGTCTGATCCGAGCCTAATCCAAACCAGCGGCACGATGAATTTTACACAGATTTCCATATACGCAGAAGTAGCAGACAATGAAGTACAAGGCGACAGGTATTGAATTGGAAAGATGCTGCCTTATACTTTCAGTAATGGATTGCTCAAAGAACAAAGCATGTGCCTTAGGCTGGTCAAAGCAATTCTTCGATCTTATGGGTCCGAGGCCTGAAATTCTGAAAATCTTAGCCTTAAGACTGCTATTTTCAAATTTGAGATTGTGGAGAATTTTGGAAAATTCTTAAATTCAGTCTTCCCTTGCAAACTGGATTGCGACAGTTCTTTTAAGGCCACATTTAGGAAGCTTTCTAAAAATTGGCACCATCTTATATTCTAAGATGGAACTCAAAGGCCCCAAATTTCTCATGATTTTAGGCTTAAGACCATGAGAAATTTGGGACCTCTTAGTTTCACCTTGCTGATTATCATAGAATCATAGAATTATACAGCGCAGAAAGAGGCAGTTCGGCCCTTCGTGTTTGTGCGTCTCTTTGAAAGAGCTGTCCAAATACCTATCTACTTCTCTCTTGAAAGTTGTCATTGAATTGCCTTCCACCACCCTTTCAGGCAATGTATTCCAGATCCGAACAACTCGCTGTGTGAAAAAAGCTCTCCTCACCTCCCCTCTGGTTCTTTTGGCAACTATCTTAAATCTGTGTCCTCTGGTTACCGACGCCCCTGCCAGTGGAAACAGTTTCTCCCTGTTCACCCTATCGGAACCCCTCATAATTTTGAACACCTCTATTAAATCTCCCCTTAACCTTTTCTGCTCCAAGGAGAATAATCCTAGTAGAAGAAAAAATATATTGTAGTGCAGTGATCTTCACAAGATCAAAAAATTGGTTCAGATGAAGAAGATCCTTCAACCCATTTGATCTCTTCACTCCATCCCCTCATCACAGGATCAAATGGATCCAGTGTCCTGGTTTCAACAACCCTTCCTGGCAACCTGTTCCGGTCGTTAATTACACTCTAGGTAAAGAAACACTTCCTGGTGTCTCTCCTGAAATTGCCTTTTGAAACTGCTATGTCCTCTTGTTCTACTGTCTTGGTCCATCATAAGGCATTGCACTGGGTTTACATTTTCAATCCATATGCAATTTTATGCACCTCTATGAGGTCCTCTCTGAGGCGCCTTCTCTCAGGACTCAAAATTGTGGTCGATGGGTCCTGTTACTGTATATAAACATACCTTTTGTGTTTCGTTGTCTGTGAATAGTTCGTACAATGGAGCAGTCTTTGTGACTTCCAGTAGAACGGGGTCTTCTTTCTCCTGGCTCTGTGTTGCATGGCACATGTGGCACCAGGAAGGGCAAGTTCCCCTGTGCCCACAATACATTCTGACTCCAGATGCCAGGAGCTCATCGCCAGAGTCCAGCAGGCTGGCAATGTAGGCTGGAAAGGTCAACGATTTGGGATCTTTCTCACGTTCCTCTGATTCATCAGACGGTGAATTGCCTGAGTGAAAAAAANTAAGATATTATAACCGCGCTGTTTAAATGGGAACAAACTATCAGGCGTATTAGGAAGTAATGAAGTGTGTAATTTATATGGCTGTAGATGTATTCATCTTCATGCTTGATATCTTGGGAGAATTAAGGAACATTATTTGGTGACTGCCACAAATTTAAGAGATCATGATTTAAGAAACACCGGAGATTGCAACTTATATGTTATATGAATGCCACAAATGACCAATAATATCTTTATCCCTCGTTTGCACGTCTATAATGTAAACGTGTGGCAGAATCAAGAGGAAAGATCAGAATTGGATTGAGCAGAATGTGGTTGGGAACATGGAGTACTGCAGAATTCAGAAGAGCAAGGTATGAATGGATTATAATTCTTAATAATCCCTACATTTCATACATACATAGCAAACACTATTTTAGCGAAAGAGTAGTAAATGTACGGAACAGGCTCCCTAGGGAGATGATAGAAGCAGAAAGTGTTGATTCTCTCCAAAGCAAATTAGGTAGATTTCTTTTAGGAAATAATATCTTGGGACACAGTATATAGTTGGGACATGACATGTGCATATGACTGCCAGGATGTTGAAGGCGAACTGGATGGACCTTGGTCTTCTTTCGTCCAGCAATTCTTATGTTCTTATTTTTGGGAGGACATCTCAAAGTGCTTCACAAAATATACTGTGACTGGGAATGTTGTAAGGAAATGTAGTAGCGAATTTGAGCACAACAAAATCTTGTATGAAGCGAATGGGACATTGGGAGATCGATGGCCAGGACACTGGAAAAACTTCTCTTTCCGAAAAGATAATAATAATCCTTGCATTTTATATTACACCTTACCACACCATTGAGATGTCTCAAAGCGCTTCACAGGAAATACTGTAAAGTGGATTGGCTGTGTATTTTGTGGGCACAACGTCACACACAGATTGTCACACAGTGCGACTTAGGAAGAGTTAAATAGGTTAGGTGGAGTGGGATGAACTAGGGTGGAGTAGATTTATTGATTCAATGGTTGACAATATAGAAAGGGTTAATAAGAATGGAGAGTCAGACTAGGATGATTACAAGGATATTACACAGCAGCATAACTGATCATTGAAAGGCTGTTTTCACTTTTTTCACTGTCCAAAGGAAAAGATTTCTTAATAATAATAATCCTAATGCTTGATATGGCACCTTATTTTTCTAGGAAGTGTAGGGATTGTCTATTTTAGGCAAACGTATTTTAGGCGAACATGATAGCCAATTTGCACACAGCAATGTCCCACAAACAACCATGAAGTGAATGACCAATTTTTTAAAATTTTAATCAGGAAATTAACAACCAATCTTCCCTGGACTAATATAAAAAAATTAAAGGGGTTCGATAACTCGTGAGGTGCATGCACTTACACACAGGATCTTTAACGTTCACCTGAATGGGCTGACAGGACCTCGGTTCATCTGAAACTGCAGCACACCCAAAGCACTGTACTAGTCAGCCTAGACTATGAGAGTTCACAGCTGATGTGGGGTTCAAACCCACATCCCTCTGACGCGATGCTGTGTGAGTGCCACTAACTGAGCCACGCTGACACCTGAGTGCCAATTAGCAAGATTCATCAATGTTTCTCTCCCTGTAACACTGTGAACAGTCCCTGGGATATTTATCTTCAACAATAATAATGAATGGCCATTAACGGATCGACAGCATTTGTCTAGTCACTAATATATGAGGCGACAGTCCATCTTTTCCTAGTGGAGTGATAGGTCTGAATGATTTGCCTGTTCTGAGTATTCAATCTTCTGAAAACACTCTATGCCTGTCAGGCTGATCGCTCTTTGTTAAAAAAAACAATAGTACCACACTTTTTTGTTGTTTTCCGAGATGATGATTATTAAAAAAAAAGCCATTTCGTTTTGCTGGAACGATCTGCAAAATTTCCTTCAGCGGGTTTCAGACAGATAATGAGAGACTTTTAGCTTCCAACAGCAAATCAATAGCAAATCATCAGAATAATCCCTGTACTGAACTTGACCTGCTCAGCCTAACAAGTTTCCCCACATATGTTCTGAGTTGAATTTTAGATTTCTCCAATGGACTCTGCTGGAGTTTGGATTTCAAGACATCTTTCACAATTAGCGAAACGGTCTCCATTGCTCGTGTTTGCCTGAGGTATCATTACTTGAGCATTAATTCCCATCACTGGAATTTGAAATGGAACCACGATGGAGTGCACTGGCACGTTCCTGACATCCCAGAGCGTACCCTTGTCGTTAATCAGGGTGGCAAATTTCCAAGCCATGTCACTCCAGCCTTAGGGAAAACAGGCCTAATAATCCTTGCATTTGATATAGCTTAGCTTCTTATCACTCCGTTGAGACGTTTGAAAGTGCTTCACTGAATGCATTGCAAAGTGGATTGACGGTGTATTCTGTGGGCGAAATGCGGCAGTCAATTGCACACGGCAGTGTTCCACAACCAGTCATGGAGTGACCAACCAATTTTTTGGGGGGGTTAAGGGGTGCGATTATTACCCCCCATGGAGTGATCTGCCAATCGACTAACGATCGGTTTCCTACCTACTGCTAGGTAAACAGAGTCCTGCGGAGTAAGGAAACTTGCTCAAGGTTTCACCCCATTCAAGAATGGAACCCGGGTCCTCTTGCTTGTGAGGTGAACAGGCTAACCAGTACCTCCCATAGGCACATTTCCTCGCTATTTTTGTGTTTCCCTTCCAGAAACATAACATAACATTTACAGGTTATGGAGGCAGTGGGTGGGCCAGATCAAATGGAGGGAAGGGGTGGGCAGAAATTGGGCTTTGGGCCACCAGTTGGCCCACCTTGATCTGAGACAATGAGCTGAATCTCCACTGACATGTGGCTTGCACCCTGTATTCACCCAAAGACTCAAAAATGAGAGGGCTTCTAATTGAACCAAACCAACAAACTCACAGCCACGCACCTGGATGTTGCTAAGAGAGATTTCAATTAAATACTGTGGGTATTGGGTTGTTTGGGTAATCCAATACTTGACAAGGTCAATGTGATTACTTTAAACAGAATAGGATTAGTACCTTTAATAACCGTCACATTACTTACCCCAATGAACTAACTTCCAAAATGATACTGTCCTTTATGTACGTACCAAATACAAATAAGAGCTCTAATCTCAGCTGTAAGGTGGCACCTCTGTCAATCTTAGGAAACCTCTGTTGCAATTAGTTTGTTCCAATTTCACTAAAAACTGCAGGAAGATGGATGAAATCTGATTGATGGCACTTAATATTAAAACAGTAATAAATTTCTGGGTCTTAGATACAAAATGTGATGTGATTGAGGAGCTCAGATGGTTTAAATATGGAACAATGTGATCGCTGGGAGTGAGTTACAGGTTAAAATGCAATCAAGGAGTGAGACTGATTAGGAATGAGCTCTGGAAACAATAATAATAATCCTTGCATTTGGTAATCTGCTTTATCATGTCATTGAGATGTCTCAAGTGCTTCATAGAATATATTGTAAAGTGAATTGACTATATATTTTGTGGGTGAAATGTGGCAGCCAATTGTGCACAGAGGTGTCCCACAAACAGTCGTCGATTAAGTAACATTTTTTTTTAGGGCTTAGTAGCCCTGGAAGAAAACCACCAATCCACTAACAACTGGATTCCTACATACTGTGAGGTAAACAGGGGGCGTGTGGAGTAAGGAAACTTAAGTAACGTTTCGACCTGCCCCGAAATCAAACCTGTGTCCTCTCACTTGTGAGGTGGGTGTGCGAACCACTACTATGGGATTGGAGTAAATCAGTCCATGTTTGAGTTTGCATGGCATGCACACGATGAATGGAACAGCCTCGCTCTGTGTTAAATTTCGACGCTCAACAACAACTTGCATTTATATAGCGCCCTTCACGCGGGGTAGTGTCCCTGAACGCTTAGTTGTCGGCAGTCTTGTTGCAGCTGTGCAGCGGTAACGAAAGTCAACGGAAGATAACATGGGACCTAGTCATGCTGTGTTGTGCGGCTATAATCTTCAATGAAACCCAGTGATGTGATTTTCACCGACCTGCATGTTTGTGGGCACTTCTTTAATGCACTGTGTTGTTTGCTCAGTGACTCGGTGACAGCAAGCGCAGCTGGTGCAATGCGTCTGGGCTTGGGAGATGAGGTAAAATTAACACCTGGCTCTCACACTGTCTGTGAAGCCTCTTCTCAAACACCAGTGTAATGAGGCGCTGTGGGGGCAGGTATTGATTGTTTTTAAGATCCGGAAAATCAGTCCGCAGAACTGTGATGATCCTTAGTAAATAACCAGTCAGCGCAGTCAACAGTGAGTGCAGCTGTCTCGACAGTGGGATAAGGGTAGAGGAATCTATTATGTAGCCTGAGCCACAAAAAGCTCTCGTTCATGTGTCTCGGTCTATTTAACCTTTAAACTATTGGCAGAAATTCCAGGCTTCCTGGACTCGCCATTTTTTTTTGTGTGTTCTTATCCCACACCCTGTGACGCTTAAACAAACCCCAAATTTGTGGTAAATATCAATGGGATTTTTAGCGCTCACTGTAACATTCACAGTCTAGGCTGACACTCCAGTGCAGTGTTGGGTGCAAGCACTCTGAGACTCTACCCTCTGCGAAGGGTGCTATATAAATACATGTTGTTGTTGTTGGGGGAGCACTGCATTGTCGGAGATGCAGCCCTTTGTATGAAACATTAAACCGAGGCCCTATCTGCCTGTTCAGGTGCATGTTAAAAACCTCATGGCACGATTCAAAAAAAGGGAATTTCTCCTGTTGCCCTACCTAAAAATCCCCTAAATTAAATAATAATAATCCTTGCATTTGATATAGCGCTTTTCATGTCTTCTCGACGTCTCAAAGCGCTTCACAGAATATGCTGTAAAGTGAATTGACTGCACTGAATATTGCTTTTTCCCCTTTGACAATGGGATTCGATTAAATAATAATGAGCTGCCATTCAGACACAGTGTATCGTAAAAGCCCACAACAAGTTCCGCAGAGTGCTGATGGATTCTGACAATCCTTCACACAGTGAAATGGCAGCTTGTACTTGAACAGCTGATCAGATATTGCACTTCAAAAGTGGCTTTCAGTGTGTTCTTAAACGTGACAAGTTGTTGTCAAAACAAAACCCCCAAAACTGCTTGCTTTGCATTTTTGTACATCCCCATTTTAATCAACAACGACTCATGCCATAAACTCCACTACACAATATCGTTATCTGATGCCAATCTCGCAACATGACATTCCCTGAATCCCAAAAGTACGTGATATCTCGTCTGTAAACACCCCAAAGCGCCTCACAGGTAATTGCTTGTGAAGTGTAGTGGCCGAATATTTATGGACAAATGCGGCAGCCAATTTGTGTACAGCAATGTACGCTTTAGGACTTTGTGCTCGCAGTTTATGCTGACACTGCAGTGCAAAGCTGAAGGAGCTCTGCATTGTCGGAGGTGCCATCCTCAAGATGAGACATTAAACCGGGGTCCTGTCTGTCCGATCAGGTACAAGTCAAAGATCCCATGAGACTATTTGAAAAGGGAAGGGAGTTTTGCCAGTGTTCTGGCCAACAAACCCCAGGGAACGTTGAGTCATTCACTTCACGGCTGTTTGTGAGACATTGTTGTGCCCAAATCGACTGTTGTGTTCACCTACAGAATACACAGTCACTACACTTGACAGTAAATCCTGTGAAGGGCTTTGAGACATTTTGCTGATATGGTAAGACTATGTGGAATGCAAGGATTATTCTTATTTATTATACACGGCGCAGCCTGAGACAGTGCTGCCCTATAAATAACACAACTTGTTTAATTTTCCAAAACTAGACAGAAAAAACAGACCCTCTCACAGACCCTTGGGAGGGCCAGCGACCCACAGGTAGCTGAGCTCTCAGAGGGAAGACCCTCGCAAAGCTGGTGACAAGTTACAGGGCAGAAGAAAGATGGCGAGAGCAAGCTTCAATAACACCCAATTTGTAAGACAACAAGGGATTTACTATGGTTTACCCAAGGCCACTGGAGGGCCATCCGTCTGACTGTCATTAGGGAAAAGGCGAGATGTAAAAATGGAAAAATAGGTTCAACCTTCACTGCATTTATTACAATCTTTTTCATGTTTATATATAAAAAAAATCTGCAGCTGTTTGTAAGGTGCGACCGCAAAGAAGCAGAGGGGGGGAAAAAAAAGTCAGACATAATTGATGTTATTTATCTCTGCTAAACCCAGAGAGAATTGCTGGAATATGAAGCACAAATCAGTTCATTAGCAGTGCTCAGTTCCTGCCCCGTCTCCTAATGGAGATGCTATCTACGGGGCGAATAATACGTGGAATATCAAAACTGCGGGAAGAGGGAATTCAAATCTGTTTTACAATTAGCATAAATTATGACTAATTAAGCTGGTAATCTACAATGTATTTATTCTGTTGTGTCTGTCACTTGGGGAACTAAAATATTATCCATTCTACGCTTGCTTGGTTGGCACAGACCCTTCACTGAGATGCATCTTCTTGTCGGGGATGAATTATTTCCTTAGCAGGTAATAATCCCTTCAAAAAAAAAAATAATAATTTGGTCACTTAATCCACAGCTGTTAGTGGGACACTGCTGTGCGCAATTGGCTACCGCATTATCCCACAAACTTCACAGTCAATTCATTTCACAGTACATTCTGGGAAGCGCTTTGAGACGTTTCAAAGACGTGATATCAAATGCACTATATCAAATGCAAGGATTCCTCTTATTATTATTTCAAGCGTCTCTTTCTCTGAAGTGCGACTCGCAGCTGGTATGAATACACAGTCAGGGGTCAATGACACAAGCCTTGGAATTTGTGGTCAGGCAATCTGAGCAGTCTCTTCTCAGGTTCTCTATCACTGAACCTCAATCACCTTGCCCAAGTAACCATTCTTCATATGTGAGCCTTGGCATTGGCTCCAGGCTCCTACATAAGAACACAAGCATTTGCCAGATGAAAGAAGAGGTTGGCTGTTGCCAACCTGAGCCAAATACTTTCCAGAATCAAGTAATCTGGGTGCAGATTAATCTGCACATTCCATTCCAGCCACAGGGAAATTTCCATACAAACAGAATGTGGAATTCTCAGTTTGGCCTGAATATTCTTAAGCACAGTGGTGGGTTTCCACACGCAACAAAAACAACACTTGTATTGCGCATTTCACATCAGGAGGACATCTCAAGGCGCTGGAAAAGTGTTTCGCATTGACCGAGAAACGAATCCAGGCCTCCCAAGCAAGAACCTACCACTCAACCACCAATGCAGTTAAAGTGCCAATGCACTGGATATCCGACTGACCCTGAAAACTTCAATATTGACACTGAATTTATGAATCAGAACAATACTATCTTATAAATTTATCAAACCCTGCATACAGATTGCTCCATTCCCAAGCTGCTCTCTTTGAGCACTTGGTTGACAAAGGCACTGCCTGGCGTTGAACTGAGACTTGGAAGACCCAGATTTGTGCCAGGTTACCTGGTCTCAGCTTGGCAGCAGATGGGATGTTACAATTAGTTTGTATAAGTAGGAGGAAAACTACAGCCAGTGTTCCCACTTCTTATCACATTCAATGGTCCTGGCTGGAAGGTGCTTGTGTGGACAGGAAGAGACTTGTCTGTGACATTCCATCTCCTCTCATGGTCAAACAGCCCAGTGACCCTTTACCACTCGGATTCACACATGAAGTACGGCCACTTTAATGAGATACTGGAGGGCAGCTGGTAGCCTTAGAACTAAACACCACAGATCCTCAGAGAGGTTAGAAAACAGAGGGAAATGCAATTAATTTCCAATACTTAAATGCAAACCTTGTATTTATTCAGTGACAGTTCTTACCTGTTACACCCATGTGATAGTTATAAAAGGCGTCCATTAGGCCATCACACAGAATGGTATCCTGAAGGGACATGTCTCCTACTTTGACCCCAACTCGCATTGGAACCACATGTGGAGCCTGTGATTAAAAGAAGCAGGCTTTAGCTAAGTGTACTTGCTGTATACTGGGACTCCACATGCAACAAGATCTGGCTGGAGAAAAGGAAGAACTTGCCTTTGTATAATGCCTTAGCATACTGAAATGCCTACAAACACTTCACAATAATTACTATCTCAGATAATAATCATGAGAATATCCTGAAGCACTTCACAGGGAATTACTGTGAAATGGAGTGACTGTGCATTTGTCGGCGAATGCTGCAGCCCAATTGCACACAGCATTGTTCCACAAACCAACATGAAAAAANGCATGACCAATTTTTAAATATTTAGGGGTACAAACAAGTGTATTAATGGCAGCACAATGCAACTGCTTGTTGTGACAGTCACTAAATTGTATCCACCGGTGAACGTTTCTGCCGAGCCATTTAGCTGAGTTCATGTTTGCTTCTTTCACACTTGATCCCTCTGTGCTCAGACAACAGGAGGGAAAAGTTCAACATTCGTTATCTGTACCGTTCTTTGGTTGAACAACAAAATTAGGCAGAACTGAACTACCTCTACATGATATATTCATGATTGAGAAGGGAGCAGAGGGTATGGAAGTGGAGATTAGCAAAGGGGAGAGGCTTGTTTGAAGCAAGGGCTGAATGGCCTGTTTCCGAGCTATGTAATTAGAAATTTACATTACAGAAAGAAGTCATTAGGGCCCATCATGTCTGCTGTCTCTATGAAAGAGAATATCCTGAAATTTTGCTCATGTAAACCTTGCTCATGCATTCCACGCCGCCTGCTACTACAATCCTGGCGTTTTCCGTGAGGATGGACTGTGCTCCTAAACACACGGCCTTCAGTCCGGAACCACAGATCATCTGGCAGCTCCATGCTGGCACCGAATAGTGAATGCTTGCTGCCACGCTGGCCTGACGGGCAGGATTCTGTCCTTGGCCTACAAAACAGTGAAAGAAAAGGAATAGACTCCTTTAATACTACAGTGCAGAGTTGGTGGTGATACTTTCTGAAAAGAGGCACGGGAATACTCAGTGAGAATCATTTACTCATATTATTAGTGTTAAGTTAACCATCCTTAACTTTAGTACAGGTTTAGCACAAGAAGTTATATTTTTTTATATATTAACGTCTTTTTCAGACGTTAATATAAAACAGCATTTTATTCTCCAGACAGGAAGATAACAAGGACAATAATTCTTTTAATACCACAGTTGGCTTGCATTCATCCTTTCATCATTTCTCTCCTTCGCTAACCCCTCTTGCGCTGCATAAACAGAGTGCTTCAGAGCTTACATTTCAGCTGCAGCTTGCAAGGTGAATGTTTATAAAGTGTAAACACAATGACTTAATTTTCGGTGGACCTAGTTGCATGACTTCCGTACTCTCCAATCTGGGCGAGGAATGGGAGACTGTAGGCTTTGTATGTTGAGGATAATATTCAGTCTGTGAAAACTCAGTCAGTGCTCTAAACACTATCAAATGATCCTCCTTGGAGAGAACAGAGCTTGGCCTTGAATCCTCTTCAGATTCACCATTGGCTGTCTGTGGATCTCACCTACAAATCCCTTCGCACCCTCACTCTCTCTACCTCTGTGACCTACTTATCCCCTACGTTCAACAAACTCAAGCCTGATGCATGGACAGTCCCTGGACAGTCATTAACAAGTCATCTCTTCCTGTGACCAGGGATCCTTGTACTTGCCGGTCCTCCGCGATTTTGCGGTTATATCCAACACTTTTGATCATTCAATTCTTCTCTACCATCTCTCCTCTGCTACATCTCTGTAGCTCTGCACTATCCAGGTTCCATTCCAACTTATCGCAGGATCATCACTATGTCTCCTTTTCCTCTGACCCACATGATCACGTGTGGCTTGGGGCTCTTTTCTGGCTCCTCTCCTCCTCATCTACATACTCCCCCAGGTTGACATAATTTCCAGGGACTTCAATACATTTGCCACTGACAACCAACTCTACCTATCCCCTTTCCGTTTTCACCTTTGACCCCTGGACAACTGCTTGTCAGATTATCAAGTCCTGAATAAGCCCAAACTTTCCCCCATAGAATGCGTGGCTGAAAGAGTGGTGCGGGAGGCAGGAGTTTCATTTTGTGGACCACTGGCACCAGTATTGGTGAAAGAGGGAGCTCTTCCATCAGTATGTCATTGAACATATTCAAGACTGAGATTGATTTTTAAAAACTAAAGAGATTAAGGGATATGGGGATAGGGCGGGTAACTGGAATTAGGTTAGAAGATCAGCCATGGTCTTATTAAATGGCGGGGCAGGCTTGAGGGGCCGAATGGCCTACTCCTGCTCCTATTTCTTATGTTTTTAATGTTGACAAGACAAAGGCTTTCCTGCTTGGCTCCCGTCAGCATCTCCGCACTTCAGGCATTGGCTCACGTCAGCTCACGGAGACAGTACAGAATATCAAATCAACGATTTATTCAAACCTCATCTTCAACCTTTCATCTGTGGGGTCTTATCAAGTTGACGTTCTTCCATCTTCACAACACTGACTGCCAACTTCAGCCACAGCCCCCCTTTCCCCACCCCCAGCCACCCTCAACAGCACCTTTTGCCCTATTATTATTAGTATTATTTATTATTATTATTTCCCCAATCCCTCAACCTATCTCCCTCCCAGCTCAGGCACCCACTCAGACTTTGTAAAGCACTTTGAGACAGTTTGAAAGGTCGTATACAAATGCTGTACCGTTCACTATTACTCAAATACAACATTGTACCCGCAGTCAAAACCTGCCCCAAAATAACTTCAGAGACATCTTCTGGCGGGTGGGGGGCGGGTGGGGGCGGGTGGGGGGGGGGTGGGGGGCGCTGTGTTAATGGTAATAGTGATGGTGAAGGCCCCGCACAAACAGCTTCAATTATCCTTCAGCTGTTTGCAGGAAATCCGCCTCCAGAGCAGCGCCTCCACACACACACACACACACACCCCAGTGTCCACGGGTCCCCCCCCAGTGCCCGGGGTCCCCCCACCCAGTGTCCGGGGGTCCCCGCCCCCAGTGCCCGGGGGTCCCCCCCACTGTCCGGGGGTCCCCCCCCCAGTGCCCGGGGGTCCCCCCCACTGTCCGGGGGTCCCCCCCCCAGTGCCCGGGGGTCCCCCCCCAGTGTCCGGGGGTCCCACACAGTGCCCGGGGGTCCACCCCAGTGTCCAGGGTTCCCCCCCCAGTGCCCGGGGGTCCCCGCCCCCAGTGTCCGGGGGTCCCCCCCAGTGTCCGGGGTCCCCCCCAGTGTCCGGGGGTCCCCCCCAGTGTCCGGGGGTCCCCCCCAGTGTCCGGGGGTCCCCGCCCCAGTGTCCGGGGGTCCCCGCCCCCAGTGCCCGGGGGTCCCCGCCCCCAGTGCCCGGGGGTCCCCGCCCCCAGTGCCCGGGGGTCCCCGCCCCCAGTGCCCGGGGGTCCCCGCCCCCAGTGCCCGGGGGTCCCGCCCCCAGTGCCCGGGGGTCCCGCCCCCAGTGCCCGGGGGTCCCGCCCCCAGTGCCCGGGGGTCCCCGCCCCCAGTGCCCGGGGGTCCCCGCCCCCAGTGCCCGGGGGTCCCCCCCCAGTGCCCGGGGGTCCCCCCCCAGTGCCCGGGGGTCCCCCCCCAGTGCCCGGGGGTCCCCCCCCAGTGCCCGGGGGTCCCCCCCAGTGCCCGGGGGTCCCCCCCCAGTGCCCGGGGGTCCCCCCCAGTGCCCGGGGGTCCCCCCCAGTGCCCGGGGGTCCCCCCCAGTGCCCGGGGGTCCCCCCCAGTGCCCGGGGGTCCCCTCCCCGCTGTACGGCTGTGGCGCTGCTCTCTCTGTGTTACCTATTGGGTTTCTCGCTGCGGAGAGGATCACAACATCGTCTCTCCCACTCACAGCGCTGCACCGAGTGCAGGAGGCGGGAGGGCGGGGGGGGGGGGGGCACCAGGATATCCGCCCCGCCCCGCCCCGCCCTCCCTGCCAGTCACGCCAACCCTGGGCCGGTCCCTGCAAGGGCCGGTCCCTGCAAGGGCCGGTCCCTGCAAGGGCCGGTCCCTGCAAGGGCCGGTCCCTGCAAGGGCCGGTCCCTGCAAGGGCCGGTCCCTGCAAGGGCCGGTCCCTGCAAGGGCCGGTCCCTGCAAGGGCCGGTCCCTGCAAGGGCCGGTCCCTGCAAGGGCCGGTCCCTGCAAGGGCCGGTCCCTGCAAGGGCCGGTCCCTGCAAGGGCCGGTCCCTGCAAGGGCCGGTCCCTGCAAGGGCCGGTCCCTGCAAGGGCCGGTCCCTGCAAGGGCCGGTCCCTGCAAGGGCCGGTCCCTGCAAGGGCCGGTCCCTGCAAGGGCCGGTCCCTGCAAGGGCCGGTCCCTGCAAGGGCCGGTCCCTGCAAGGGCCGGTCCCTGCAAGGGCCGGTCCCTGCAAGGGCCGGTCCCTGCAAGGGCCGGTCCCTGCAAGGGCCGGTCCCTGCAAGGGCCGGTCCCTGCAAGGGCCGGTCCCTGCAAGGGCCGGTCCCTGCAAGGGCCGGTCCCTGCAAGGGCCGGTCCCTGCAAGGGCCGGTCCCTGCAAGGGCCGGTCCCTGCAAGGGCCGGTCCCTGCAAGGGCCGGTCCCTGCAAGGGCCGGTCCCTGCAAGGGCCGGTCCCTGCAAGGGCCGGTCCCTGCAAGGGCCGGTCCCTGCAAGGGCCGGTCCCTGCAAGGGCCGGTCCCTGCAAGGGCCGGTCCCTGCAAGGGCCGGTCCCTGCAAGGGCCGGTCCCTGCAAGGGCCGGTCCCTGCAAGGGCCGGTCCCTGCAAGGGCCGGTCCCTGCAAGGGCCGGTCCCTGCAAGGGCCGGTCCCTGCAAGGGCCGGTCCCTGCAAGGGCCGGTCCCTGCAAGGGCCGGTCCCTGCAAGGGCCGGTCCCTGCAAGGGCCGGTCCCTGCAAGGGCCGGTCCCTGCAAGGGCCGGTCCCTGCAAGGGCCGGTCCCTGCAAGGGCCGGTCCCTGCAAGGGCCGGTCCCTGCAAGGGCCGGTCCCTGCAAGGGCCGGTCCCTGCAAGGGCCGGTCCCTGCAAGGGCCGGTCCCTGCAAGGGCCGGTCCCTGCAAGGGTCCTGCAAGGGCCGGTCCCTGCAAGGGCCGGTCCCTGCAAGGGCCCGGTCCCTGCAAGGGCCCGGTCCCTGCAAGGGCCCGGTCCCTGCAAGGGCCCGGTCCCTGCAAGGGCCCGGTCCCTGCAAGGGCCCGGTCCCTGCAAGGGCCCGGTCCCTGCAAGGGCCCGGTCCCTGCAAGGGCCGGTCCCTGCAAGGGCCGGTCCCTGCAAGGGCCGGTCCCTGCAAGGGCCGGTCCCTGCAAGGGCCGGTCCCTGCAAGGGCCGGTCCCTGCAAGGGCCGGTCCCTGCAAGGGCCGGTCCCTGCAAGGGCCGGTCCCTGCAAGGGCCGGTCCCTGCAAGGGCCGGTCCCTGCAAGGGCCGGTCCCTGCAAGGGCCGGTCCCTGCAAGGGCCGGTCCCTGCAAGGGCCGGTCCCTGCAAGGGCCGGTCCCTGCAAGGGCCGGTCCCTGCAAGGGCCGGTCCCTGCAAGGGCCGGTCCCTGCAAGGGCCGGTCCCTGCAAGGGCCGGTCCCTGCAAGGGCCGGTCCCTGCAAGGGCCGGTCCCTGCAAGGGCCGGTCCCTGCAAGGGCCGGTCCCTGCAAGGGCCGGTCCCTGCAAGGGCCGGTCCCTGCAAGGGCCGGTCCCTGCAAGGGCCGGTCCCTGCAAGGGCCGGTCCCTGCAAGGGCCGGTCCCTGCAAGGGCCGGTCCCTGCAAGGGCCGGTCCCTGCAAGGGCCGGTCCCTGCAAGGGCCGGTCCCTGCAAGGGCCGGTCCCTGCAAGGGCCGGTCCCTGCAAGGGCCGGTCCCTGCAAGGGCCGGTCCCTGCAAGGGCCGGTCCCTGCAAGGGCCGGTCCCTGCAAGGGCCGGTCCCTGCAAGGGCCGGTCCCTGCAAGGGCCGGTCCCTGCAAGGGCCGGTCCCTGCAAGGGCCGGTCCCTGCAAGGGCCGGTCCCTGCAAGGGCCGGTCCCTGCAAGGGCCGGTCCCTGCAAGGGCCGGTCCCTGCAAGGGCCGGTCCCTGCAAGGGCCGGTCCCTGCAAGGGCCGGTCCCTGCAAGGGCCGGTCCCTGCAAGGGCCGGTCCCTGCAAGGGCCGGTCCCTGCAAGGGCCGGTCCCTGCAAGGGCCGGTCCCTGCAAGGGCCGGTCCCTGCAAGGGCCGGTCCCTGCAAGGGCCGGTCCCTGCAAGGGCCGGTCCCTGCAAGGGCCGGTCCCTGCAAGGGCCGGTCCCTGCAAGGGCCGGTCCCTGCAAGGGCCGGTCCCTGCAAGGGCCGGTCCCTGCAAGGGCCGGTCCCTGCAAGGGCCGGTCCCTGCAAGGGCCGGTCCCTGCAAGGGCCGGTCCCTGCAAGGGCCGGTCCCTGCAAGGGCCGGTCCCTGCAAGGGCCGGTCCCTGCAAGGGCCGGTCCCTGCAAGGGCCGGTCCCTGCAAGGGCCGGTCCCTGCAAGGGCCGGTCCCTGCAAGGGCCGGTCCCTGCAAGGGCCGGTCCCTGCAAGGGCCGGTCCCTGCAAGGGCCGGTCCCTGCAAGGGCCGGTCCCTGCAAGGGCCGGTCCCTGCAAGGGCCGGTCCCTGCAAGGGCCGGTCCCTGCAAGGGCCGGTCCCTGCAAGGGCCGGTCCCTGCAAGGGCCGGTCCCTGCAAGGGCCGGTCCCTGCAAGGGCCGGTCCCTGCAAGGGCCGGTCCCTGCAAGGGCCGGTCCCTGCAAGGGCCGGTCCCTGCAAGGGCCGGTCCCTGCAAGGGCCGGTCCCTGCAAGGGCCGGTCCCTGCAAGGGCCGGTCCCTGCAAGGGCCGGTCCCTGCAAGGGCCGGTCCCTGCAAGGGCCGGTCCCTGCAAGGGCCGGTCCCTGCAAGGGCCGGTCCCTGCAAGGGCCGGTCCCTGCAAGGGCCGGTCCCTGCAAGGGCCGGTCCCTGCAAGGGCCGGTCCCTGCAAGGGCCGGTCCCTGCAAGGGCCGGTCCCTGCAAGGGCCGGTCCCTGCAAGGGCCGGTCCCTGCAAGGGCCGGTCCCTGCAAGGGCCGGTCCCTGCAAGGGCCGGTCCCTGCAAGGGCCGGTCCCTGCAAGGGCCGGTCCCTGCAAGGGCCGGTCCCTGCAAGGGCCGGTCCCTGCAAGGGCCGGTCCCTGCAAGGGCCGGTCCCTGCAAGGGCCGGTCCCTGCAAGGGCCGGTCCCTGCAAGGGCCGGTCCCTGCAAGGGCCGGTCCCTGCAAGGGCCGGTCCCTGCAAGGGCCGGTCCCTGCAAGGGCCGGTCCCTGCAAGGGCCGGTCCCTGCAAGGGCCGGTCCCTGCAAGGGCCGGTCCCTGCAAGGGCCGGTCCCTGCAAGGGCCGGTCCCTGCAAGGGCCGGTCCCTGCAAGGGCCGGTCCCTGCAAGGGCCGGTCCCTGCAAGGGCCGGTCCCTGCAAGGGCCGGTCCCTGCAAGGGCCGGTCCCTGCAAGGGCCGGTCCCTGCAAGGGCCGGTCCCTGCAAGGGCCGGTCCCTGCAAGGGCCGGTCCCTGCAAGGGCCGGTCCCTGCAAGGGCCGGTCCCTGCAAGGGCCGGTCCCTGCAAGGGCCGGTCCCTGCAAGGGCCGGTCCCTGCAAGGGCCGGTCCCTGCAAGGGCTGGTCCCTGCAAGGGCCGGTCCCTGCAAGGGCCGGTCCCTGCAAGGGCCGGTCCCTGCAAGGGCCGGTCCCTGCAAGGGCCGGTCCCTGCAAGGGCCGGTCCCTGCAAGGGCCGGTCCCTGCAAGGGCCGGTCCCTGCAAGGGCCGGTCCCTGCAAGGGCCGGTCCCTGCAAGGGCCGGTCCCTGCAAGGGCCGGTCCCTGCAAGGGCCGGTCCCTGCAAGGGCCGGTCCCTGCAAGGGCCGGTCCCTGCAAGGGCCGGTCCCTGCAAGGGCCGGTCCCTGCAAGGGCCGGTCCCTGCAAGGGCCGGTCCCTGCAAGGGCCGGTCCCTGCAAGGGCCGGTCCCTGCAAGGGCCGGTCCCTGCAAGGGCCGGTCCCTGCAAGGGCCGGTCCCTGCAAGGGCCGGTCCCTGCAAGGGCCGGTCCCTGCAAGGGCCGGTCCCTGCAAGGGCCGGTCCCTGCAAGGGCCGGTCCCTGCAAGGGCCGGTCCCTGCAAGGGCCGGTCCCTGCAAGGGCCGGTCCCTGCAAGGGCCGGTCCCTGCAAGGGCCGGTCCCTGCAAGGGCCGGTCCCTGCAAGGGCCGGTCCCTGCAAGGGCCGGTCCCTGCAAGGGCCGGTCCCTGCAAGGGCCGGTCCCTGCAAGGGCCGGTCCCTGCAAGGGCCGGTCCCTGCAAGGGCCGGTCCCTGCAAGGGCCGGTCCCTGCAAGGGCCGGTCCCTGCAAGGGCCGGTCCCTGCAAGGGCCGGTCCCTGCAAGGGCCGGTCCCTGCAAGGGCCGGTCCCTGCAAGGGCCGGTCCCTGCAAGGGCCGGTCCCTGCAAGGGCCGGTCCCTGCAAGGGCCGGTCCCTGCAAGGGCCGGTCCCTGCAAGGGCCGGTCCCTGCAAGGGCCGGTCCCTGCAAGGGCCGGTCCCTGCAAGGGCCGGTCCCTGCAAGGGCCGGTCCCTGCAAGGGCCGGTCCCTGCAAGGGCCGGTCCCTGCAAGGGCCGGTCCCTGCAAGGGCCGGTCCCTGCAAGGGCCGGTCCCTGCAAGGGCCGGTCCCTGCAAGGGCCGGTCCCTGCAAGGGCCGGTCCCTGCAAGGGCCGGTCCCTGCAAGGGCCGGTCCCTGCAAGGGCCGGTCCCTGCAAGGGCCGCCCTGCAAGGGCCGGTCCCTGCAAGGGCCGGTCCCTGCAAGGGCCGGTCCCTGCAAGGGCCGGTCCCTGCAAGGGCCGGTCCCTGCAAGGGCCGGTCCCTGCAAGGGCCGGTCCCTGCAAGGGCCGGTCCCTGCAAGGGCCGGTCCCTGCAAGGGCCGGT